GAGGAGGAGGAGAGGAGGAGGACCCCCTCCCCCTCCTACTTCTGGTGGTGGCGGTGGGAAGCAAACCCACCACACGGCTCGTCCCCTCCTCTCCTGTGCCGAAGGCGTCGCGCGTGCTGCTCGAGGATGCCCGGGGAGTGTGCCCGGCCGACGTGCGCCTGCCCCGCTCGGCTCCGCCGACGGGGCGAAGCCTCGGCTGGCCCTCGCTGCTCATTACGCCGCCCGCGGCGTGCTGCAGGGGCTTCCGTGGACAAGCACGCGTGGTCGCCAGCACACCCTGTGGGCGTGCTGCGCTGGCGTTAAGAGGGGCGTGTCCCTCTACAGGGGGAGCATTCAGAAACAGTCCAAGACAGTATGGAGTCGATCTTTCGACCACTTCTGGCTATTCTTGAGCAGTTCTGGACTATGTTTCATGCTTCACTTTTCGTCCAACATCCGCCTGTAGGGGGACATTGCCCGACCTCGCGCTGGCGGCGCGTCCCACTTCTCGCACCACAGGGGGGCGTCTCTGCACACGCCAGGGGGCTGCTGACGGGGGCCCCTCGCCGGGGGTGCTCCCCCCTCGGGGCCCTCAGGTCCTCGTGGGGGGTGCCCTGGAAGCCGCGGGGGCCTCCCTGGCAGTCCTGGGGGCACCTCGGGCCAGGGGCCCTCTGGGCGACGCAAGGACACGGGGTCGCCTGCGCCGACACTGAGCAAGCCGCGGCGCAAGGTCGCGACGCCGTCTCGCGCAGGGCCCGTTCTTGGTCCTCGCTCCCTGGCAGGTGTGCACCCGAACACGGGCGTGCAGCAGGGCTGCACCTAAACGGCGTTTTTCGTTTCCGTTCTGTTTTCGTTTTCCCTCGTTCTGTCTCCAATCCGCCTTGGACGCGGAACGAGATCGAAACAGAAACGGCCCACGAAATCGCCAAAACACCGTTTAGGTTCAGCCCTGGCGTGCACCCGAGGCGCGCTCCCAGGCCGGAGCGCCGGCTGCCTGTTCCGCGTGGCCCGTGGCCCCTCCCGTGGGCGCGGCAGCGCTGCCGCCGCGCCGCGAGGGGGGCACGGGGGCGGCGGGCTCGGCGACGTAGGCACCTCTCTCGCAGGCCTAGAGGTTGCCACCGACGCCAATATCGGCCGTGTGCCTCCACCGAGGGAAGAAGATCCCGATCTCGGTGATGGTGGTAACATTCTGGCTTCTAAGGTGGCCGACATCTTACCACCAACACCGAAATCTAGGATCATCTCCCCCTGTGAAGGCAACCCCCTGTGTTGGTGCTGGTGCCCATTTCAAGGCCTCCAACTCTCGGGCACCGGGGGGGGGGGCGCAGGTCTGCCATCGGGCGGGTGGTGGTGGGGGGTGACCTGAGCCCCGAGGTCCGACGCTCCGGCAAAAATCGGAGCGGAGGGTTTTTGGCCGTTTTCGGTCTCCAGGGGCCTTCGCTGGGTCTCGGGCCCGTCAAGAAAGGACTCCGGACGACAGACCGGCCCTAGGGAAGTGGTCCAGACCTCCTGGACCCACGCATCGAACAAATCGGAGCGGCCGGATGCCTGGGAAGGGGGGGTGAAGAAGAGGGCCCCGAAGGGGCCCTTTGGGGTTGTGGAAGTCGATTCATGGAGAGGAAGCGTGCTGCCAGGTACTTTCCAGATGTCTAAAACATATTTCGAATACGTTTAAAATCTGTGGAAGCATATGTGAACCATTTGTAGAACATGTCTGACACATCTTAAGCACTCTTGCAATCCAATGATCGGACTGTTAGAGAGTGTCCACTGCCGTGGCATCCACAGTTTCAGGGCCCCCCCTGGAGCCAGCCAGCAGGGGCCCCGAAGGGCCCGTTTTGGGGCCCTCTCCTTCGCCGCCCGTTTTCGGGCCCCCCCCAGTGAGCACCCGCCCGATGCCAGCCCGCCGCGCTGCAGCTGGCCTCGATCGGCCCAGGGCCGCTGCCGAGGCCCCTTTGGGGCCCTCGGGAGCGCTCCGCCCTCGCGGGAGAGCCGCCCTCCGACCGTGCACCAGGCTGGCAGGGATCCCAGGCCAGCCACAGCCGGGGGAGCCGTGGTCCTTGCCCTTCTTGGGGGACCCCTCGATTTCGACACCCCTCTCGAGAGGTCGTCGACGCAAGGGGTTCCCCCAGAGGGGGTAGGGACCACGGCTCCCCCAGCTATGGCTGGTCGGGATCAGGGCGGGAGTCATTTTCGTGTCGCCTCCCTGCGCCCATCTCCCTCCTCTTCCTTCCTCCTTCCTCCTGCCGCCCCCTTTCCCACGTTCCTGATGGGCAATCCGGGGGTATTAAAAAACCGTGCCGTAGAGAGTCCTTCTGCAGGCTGCGATTTTACGGTTGGGGGCGACGTGCATGCGCGCTTGGACTGGCAGCAGTGGTGCCCAGAGCAGAGGTATGTCGACGAGGGTGCGGCTTTCTGCTTTCCGGGCTTGCCACGCTGGGAAAGGTCGTCGTGGGCCCGACTCATTTGTCCGTCGCCCCCATGGAGTTCCACCAGATCCACCTGACAGATGTCCGACAAG